AAGGCCTTTCCATATAAGTTAAGATCGTGTTTGCAATAACCTGTTAGATTCATTCGGATTTGGTATTCGTTTTGATTCGATCCAAAAAATTTGGATATCCGTTATAAATTAAAACAAAGCAAATAGTAAACTTTAGTATGCATATAAAGAGAAGCAAATCACCAATACTAATTTTAAAATTTGAATATCCGCTTCGATGTGTATATTACTTATATAACATACAATGTAAATACTAACTTTTTTAATTGAAATATATTTTTATTTTTTCTTAAATAAAAAATATATATTTCTTAAATAAAAAATATATATTTCTTAAAGAAAAAATATATATATTATTTTTCACTATTTTATCCTCCTGTTTTTTTATTTTACTTTAGTTATATCGAATAAAATTAAATATTTTCATATATTAATTCATTATTTAGTTTAAATTTTATATTAAAACAACTTTTTTTAATAAAGAAATGTGGTGTTTTGATTGTTATTTTTTTTTAAAAATTGATATCCGTGAATATCCGCAAATATTCGGAAAAAATTTTCGAAACAAATCAAATCGGAAAATTAGATATCCGGCAAAAATAACTCGAATCAAAATTTTTTTTTTTTCGGATATCCATTCCGCCCCAACCCTAACCCTATATGATATAGGTACGTAATTGTGTTTGCTGTTAAAAGTCAATATTTTATATCAATGATTATCACTATCGGAGTATATAAAAGTAGGATGTGCTTGGTGCGAATGTGAAGGTCTTAAAAGGAAAGATAATAAGAAACAAAGTAATTGAATAGTCAATGCTCTACAGTAAAACCTCTATAAATTAATAAATAATTTATAGAGATATATCTGTTTTAGGTAAGAATTTTCTTTAACAAAATTTAAATGATATTCTGTTCAAAAATTTAATTAAACTCATTTGTAAAAATAATATGTATTAACTTGAGATTATGATTTATACTTTTTATTATTGTAATAGAATAAATACTAACATCATAATATAATATCCATTTAAAATTAATACACATTATTAGTACAAAATTTAGAAAAAAAAATATGGTTATCGTTCTTAATGTTGATGATAAAGTCAGCAACGATATGTGTACAAAATCAATTATCGTTTCTATAACTTATCATAAGTTTTGGATACCGAAAAAACAAGCATAAAAATTTGTTTGAGATAGTAAGTAGAATAAAAAGTTACATAAGCCAAAA